CTTCTTCATAGCTTTCTGTTTCGATTCTACAGCAGATGGGCTGTTTCTGGCTGTCGTCATATTCCCATTGAGAGGCATCATTGTAGCTTTGCCCGACAATTCTATGTTAATTTCATTAGCATACTTCTTCACACGCCACCGTCCAAAATGGTCGTCATCTTCATCTCCTGAAGAATCAGTTGCATAAGGATCGATCATTGATACCCTTATAAGTTTTGGGAATGGTAACTCTTCTTGGTCAGAAAACTTCTCTGACATTGCCGGAACCTCCATTGTTATACGCCTTTTGTGCTCTGTTTGTTTGATCGGAGGTAACATGAAGCAGTCCTCCATGAATATCTGCTTTGCGATGAAAAAGGAATAGAGAAGTTTAAGAGTCGAAAATGGGTGAGAGGTGAGGAGTAGGGAATAGTTTATTTTAACAATTACCGGATTTGAAAAAAGTATAAATTTATTTAAACCTTTGGGAGGTCATTTCAACCGTTAGTGTTAAAAATATCTTTATATATTTAATACTATATGTCCTTTACGGTTTCCAATAAATTTCTACACTACACCCGAGTCTCCTTTTTTTGTGTGCCTATTTGCAAATTAAAATTAGATGAAACAATATTAGGTCTTAAAGGAAGAAGAAGATGAATGAACGGTCTCTTCAGAGAAGAAAATAAGTAGTGGTTTGTGAGGGATATTGCCTGGTTTGATGCAATCACTCTGTTTTTTATGATTATGAAAAGAAGGGTCATTGCATCGGACTAGGCTTCATTCCTTTCAAATCCTTTTGTAAAAATCAGATAGCTACCAAGGTATTACCAGAAGAGTTACTATGAGTAGATACAATGTTTAATGTATATATGTCATTCATATATTTCACTGTGTGTAAATTTCCTTTTTAGTATATTTTTCAGTAGCTTTGATTTCACAGGGTTTTAGAAAGCGAAGGAAGGGGCTATATAATTTGTTAGTATGACTTTAAATATGTTCATCTTATTTGGAACTTTGTGTTTATGCATAAAGATTTAAAAGAGTTATATACATGTTCAAAACCTCTCATCATTCAATTCTTCATAGGCTTCTGCGTAGAAACAGTGTTTTGGTGAATCTTGTTTCGACTTGCAATTAGTGATTGTATTATATAGATGTTCAAATAGCATTCTTTACTTATGAGGAAAACCTAAACGTAATATAAATGATATATTTAAATTAAGTTATAACATTATCACCTAAAATAACTTATGTCTTCACCATGTTATGCAAAGGATGCAGTTTCATGTTCAAGTATGGAATTCAGACTTTTAACTATTAAGTGTAGAACACCAGAAGTAATAGGTTCTTCGAAAACCATGTTGCATATTTCAAATTTCTACATTAACATATTTATAAATCCGACAAACTATGAAAACCAATGTCATAACAGAGTTTTAGGTTGGATAAAAGGTGTTAGAGTTTTATTTTAAGGCTGACAAATTATTACACAATATAACTCTGCAAAATTTAAAGCCGTGGGTTTTTGTTGAAAGAAATATTTCAGATTGAGACATGCTGAAAGTAACATTTTAGAATTGGTTTCAGGAAACTCGGCACATTGACACTCAAGAATTACAATTTACAATTTAAATCCAAATCTGAAGTCTGGTTAGTACTATTTTGGAGCCGTATTACATGGTTTAAACATTAATGCACATTGTACGTCTATCAAACCACGTATGAAAGTTATTGTATAAGTCTGCAATCAAGCCAGTCAGAGTTAGCTTCCAACTCTTACATTTAACTTTGACGGGTTCATAGGTTTAATACAAGAACCGTTCTGTTGAAATGACTCTGAAATAAACCATCTATTTTAACTCTGGAAAAGGATATCAGACCTATCTTTGTGAAATAAGTATTTATTTAGAAGTTTTTGTGATCACCGAAATACGTGACGGCATAGCACGTGCAGAACCTCTGTGAAGGTCTGTATGAAGAATGAAGTCACGCTTGATAGACACAAGGGTGAAAAAAGTTCCCAGAGTTTAAGCCCAAAACGGTCCAGAGTTACAAGGCTGAAGTACACTTTCAGAATTAAAGCCGGAGCCTCAAAGTAGGACATGAAGAGACAGAGCTCTTTCTCAACTCTTAAGTGCAGAGCCTCTGTGTAGCTCTGTATGAAGCACGAAGGTAGGTTACAATGACGGCGTAGCACGTGCAGAACCTCTATCATGGTCTGTATGAAGAAGGGAATCTCAAGGTAGAACATGAACAGTCAGAGGTCTTTCTCAACACTTAAGTGCAGAGCCTCTGTGTAGCTTTGTATGAAGCACAAAGGCAGGGTTAGAGTGATGACATAGCATGTGCAGAACCTCTGTGAAGGTCTGTATGAATAACGAAGGGAGGCTTGACAGACACAAGGGTGAAGAAGTTTCCCATAGTTAAGACTCAAATGGTCCAGAGTTGTAACTCTATATTCCACTTTCAGAGTATTCGGCGGAGCCTGAACGTAGAAGATGAAGAGACAGATCAGTTTCTCAACACTTAAGTGCAGAGCCTCTGTGTAGCTCTGTATGAAGCACGAAGGAAGGGTTAGAGTGACCACGTAGCACGTGCAGAACCTTTGTGAAGGTCTATATGAAGAAGGGGAACATCAACGTAGGACATGAAGAAACAGAGCTCTTTCTCAACACTTAGTGCAGAGCCTCTGTATAGCTCTGTATGAAGCACGGTGGCAGAGTTAGATTGACGACGTAGCACGTGCAGGCCCTCTGTGAAGGTCTGTATGAAGAACGGAGTCAGGCTTGACAGCCTCAGGGGTGAACAAACTTCCCAGAGTTTAAACCGGATACGGTGCAGAGTTACAAGTCTGAAGTACACTTCTAGAGTATGAGGTGACGCCTGAAGGTAGGACATGAAGAGACAAAGATCTTTCTCAACACTTAAGTGCAGAGCTTTTGTGTAACTCTGTATGAAGCACAGAGGCAGGGTTAGAGTGACGGCGTAGCACATGCAGGACCTCTGTCAAGGTCTGTATGAAGAATGGGAGCCTCAACGTACAACATGAAGAGAGAAAGCTCTTTCTCAACACTTAAGTACAGAGCCTCTGTGGAGCTCTGTATGAACCACGGAGCCTAGCTCAGATTGACCGCGTAGCACGTGCAGAACCTCTGTGAAGGTCTGTATGAGGAACTGAGTGAGGCCTGACAGACACAAGGGTGAAGAAATTTCCCAGAGTTAAGACTCGAATAGTACAGAGTTACAATTCTGAAGTCCACTTTCAGAGTAAGCGGCAGGGCCTCAACATAGGGAATGAAGAGAGAGAGCTCTTTCTCAACACCTACGTGCAGAGCCTCTATCTAACTCTGTCTGAACCATGGAAGGAGGGTTAGAGTGACGCCGTAGCACGAGCATAACCTCTATTAAGGTCTGTATGAAGAATGAAGTCAGGCTTGACAGACACAAGGGTGAATAAATTTCCCAGAATTAAGACTCAGATGGTCCAGAGTTACAAGTTTGAAGTCCACTTTCAAAGTAAGAGGCGGAGCCTCAACGCAAAGCATGATGAGACAGAGCTCTTTCTCAACACTTAAGTGCAGAGACTCTGTGAAGCTTGGTATGAAGCACGGAGCCATGGTTAGAGTGACGCCGTAGAACGTGCAGAACCTCTGTTAAGGTCTGTATGAAGAAGGGGAGCCTCAACGTAGCACATGAAGAGACAGAGCTCTTTTCTCAACACTTAAGTGCAGAGCCTCTGTGTTGCTCATGCAAATAAGTTCAATATTAAATCCAAAACAAAAAATAATGAAAACGTATAGCATACTACATTCACCAATTAACAGATCATTGTATAAACCAAAATCCAATCACCAAAACAATATCAAATACGAGAGACAATGTAGTTGTACACCGGAACCACAAATATTACTTCTCAAGTGAAGGGATTTTTAACCTTTTTGTAGCCGATCCTTTTTTTTAAATTAGGAAAAAGGAAGAAAAACATAAGAAGTTCTCGATATCCAACAGAAGTTGAAAAAAAAGCAGGTTCTTACTTGAATTAAAAAAATAAGTCTAATTGAAGGCAGAGGTTAAAAAGAACCTCTGTTTTACATCAACTATTTAGAAAGTACAATACGATTGAAACGAAAGTACAATGCTTGAAAGTTGAAAAAAAAATGCTCAAACAATAAGGTGTAGATGTTTTCAAGCCTAATGAACCTCCTAACAACTTCCCGAAACTCCAACAGATTACGGATTGACCTTAGAATAATTCTGGCTCCTTCTCTTGCTCCAGGGGTGGTATCTCTGCTTCATGTAAGATGATCTCTACGATAATTGACATAGAAGATGGCCTTTGTACATAATAGACTTAGCTCTTAAGTAAGAGCCCTGTCTCTCCTCGTGCTACGCAGAACCTCTGATCCTGATTCCGTGCTTCATACAGAACTACGCAGACTATCTGCATATACCACGGAGCGCACCTGAAGTTGCTTCGATACTCAATGTAGACTTGTATAGAGGCTTTGCATGTTCCACGCAGAGCCTCTGTGTAAGTTTCCTACAGATTTGCGACTCTGCATACAAGGCTTCTAATCTTCAAAGTAGGCTGAAGAACAACCCTGCATACTTCAGAGCTCTGTATAGCGAGTCAGAATATCTGCATGCAGTATACAGAGGTCGTGTAATAAATCAATGAAGGCCTATAAGGATTCAGAATAAAGCCCATCTGATCATGTACAGCCTGTTACTCATCTGCCCAGAACCTCTTCATCCAAAAATAGTTAAATACTTACAAGCAGATATAATTTTCATGAACATGAAAATCAAAGCTTACAAAATTATGTAATGCAAATGAGTTTAATATCAAATCCAACACAAATAATAACAAAAACGTATATCATAACATAAGTACCAATGCAAAAATCATTGTCCAAACTAAAATTCAACCCCCAACACAATACCAAATACGAGTTTCAATGTAATTGTTCATCAAAAGCAAGAATATTTCTTTTCAATTTTAGGGATCTTTAATGTTTTTATAGCCGATCCTTTTCCTTCCTGATCGGCATCAGACCAACTTTCAAAAAGCCGCTTCCTATCAACTCCTTTCCTAAGCCTTCTGTCAGACAACTTCTCTTCTGATTTCGGACTGTCTGCAGTGCTCTTATTGTTGCATTCTCACCAGTAAATGAAACAACATCCTTCATATAAAACAATAATTAGTTATGGCATTTGAAGGATTAGTTGCTTGTAGTTCACTTTACAAATTACATGAAGATGGCATTTATAGTACCTTTAACTTATCTTGAGAACTGAAATCTGTTGAAAGCAGATTTACTGACTCTAATTCAGCAAGCTACAGAGTAAATTGTAAAATAATGTTAGAGTAACAAAGATTTTAGACTAAATTGGATCATATTTTCTGCAAATGATAATCAACACCTATTGAGAAGCGCATCTCATTTCCAATTCATTGAAAATGGCATCATCATCTGTTAGCTTTGAAATGCCATAAATGAAACAACTGTTTTTAATATTGTAATCAGTTATGTCAATCTTTATTGCAAACCTCCGATCAAGAAAAACATCCAAGTCATCCGGAAACATATCTAAATCACCACTCTAACAAAAAAATAAACAACTTTTACATTAACAGGTATTTGGAGTCCAAAAAAATAACCTATGAAAAAAGATAAGACCTCTAACCTTACCTCTTTAACTTTTTTATAGAACTCTGTTGCTGTTTGATTCAAAACTTTATTAGCTTCTCGATCAAATAATGTCAATGATACAATTCCAGTATCATCCTAAACTCTCAAAGAAATTCTGAACCTATATGATTATTAAGCGAGCATTAATGTGAGTGTGCAAAAGTTAATGAACAACACTCTTATGTAATTGTTACTTACTTTGGCAACACCTCTGTCTTTTTACCTCTGCATCTGTCAGTCGTACAATCAAAACTTTCACTCTCTTCTTTCATACCAGATCCATCATCCTTGTCAGTTATAGTGTACATGGTTCGAACCTTGCGATTACACCTCGTGCAACCCATGTAAAACCAAGGGACATCCTTCCTAAATGCTTTCACCGTTCCTAATACAATTAGTGATTTCGCCTGTATAAAGTACGCTATGTTACACTAAAATGCAATTATTAAATGTAAAGACACTATTTAAAAAAATCAGTACCTCAACAGTCTCACTGATTTCAACAATGTTTGCTCTACTGGTTCTGTCTAAAAAAAATTCACGATATGAATAAGACAATCCAGAGAGCAATGAAATCTGTTGTGACGATTTAGATTTGCCACTTTCCCGAATCAAACTATTGAATTGGAGTATTAGTAAACAACAATGTATATTAGGGAAATATAAGATATATAACAAAAATAAATAATAATAATAATAAATTGTTGACCTTTTCTTAAAATCATTGATTTCATCAATGTCTGAATTGATTAACAACCTCGTAACATTGAATGAGTTAGAAAGAAATGGTCTTTCTGAAACAATCAAATGAAGCAAGTTAACACAACATTGCTTGAAAGAACTATATATGTTATGAATCAGACAAACCTCTGTAAATTTTGACCATTGCAAACTGAATAACAAGAATAACAATCCCCTTGTCCTTGTTAGTAGAACCATAATCATTCAATTCCTGAGCGAACGCATCCCACAATGTCACTTGCATTTTAATCCCCCTAAATAAATTGTAAGAAAAGAATTATATAGTTTCTGAAGATCACTGCTAGTGAATTAAAGTAAAACACTTACTCCAAATCCTGCATCTCCACCTGCATCCGTCTTTTGGCTTTTCCATTGTTATCTGAAAGAGTCACCATTGTCTCACACGCAATAATTTCACCATTTACATCTATGTAATCATCAAAATGTTAACATAACAACGTCTAACTTTAATGACACTACAATATATAATTTATTTAAACAATACAATCGATGTAAAAGAATATAATTCACTCATATCAGAAGAATTCTCAAATTGCTTTCTATGGATAAGCTCACACTAACCCGTCAATTTCACCAACTGCTGTATGTTCTGGGATACTTTTGGATATAAGATTTGTAAATTTCACAAATGAGAAACCAAAAATGGAACCCTTAAAATCCCGAAAATTTGACACAGAAGTCTTGTAATACAAACTTAACTTGTTTGTATTATCAATTAACTTGTACTTCGTTGCATGTCGAGCAATTATAGGATTCTTAATAAAAACTGCAGCTCCTTCCTGAAGTAAGTTTCTGAACTTAGGAACCCATTTTTTTAGGAAATTAGCTTGTATTTTAGTGCCCTAATAACATAAAAATGAAAAATCAAAGAGTAGTGATAATGTGAAGATCTTAAACAGTTTAGAAAATTATTCAATATCATGCTGACAATACTAAAGCTTGAAAAAGATATAAGAATTTACCTGTTCATCCATTAATATCATTTCAATGGAATATATTTCATCCGAGTTTTTAAACACCGGTTGCTTCCACAGTCTAACAATTCGGACCTTGACAGTGAAATCATCCTTCTGTATGTCAAGATCTTCAAGGAATGTAATATTGTTAACAACCATTAATTTGTAGAAGAAAATACATGTATTAATTAATGAAAATTTTGAAGTAGGTTAATCAAAAGAAGTTATCATACCTCACAGAAGAAAAGCAATTGGTTTTGATTGTTCTGGTTTGAAGTTGAGAAAAGTTGCCAATTTGAGTAGTGAGGAATACGGAAATTGAATCACAATTTAAACCCACATCCCACGATTAAAAATCCCCCATTTTATGGGAATTATAACCGACAATAACTGAAATTTTGAGTTTATGAATTTATGAAAATTCTGAAGTTGTGTATTCTGGCCACGTCCAAGTATGAACGTGGTGTACCGGATTTACGGCTTTAGTTATAAATTCAGATGTGCGGAAGTAACTATGTACATTTCAGTCACGAACATTTTAATATGGACTTTAACAATTTTAGTGACTTTCTTAAGGACTAATTTTCAAATATTGACTTTCACATAATGAAGGGAAGTTTATAAGATTTATACAGATATTGAAGTCTGATCTGAAGAAAAAGTTTTCCCCCAACCCAGACTATATAATAAGGATTGAAAATATGGAACAATTTTTTGTACGTTCAAATATGTTGGTTGAGGAAGTGTTCCCACGCCGTCTGTTGTGACTATAGATTTCTAAATCTGAGGTTGGTTCCAGATGTAAGATGGTGGTTATAAGTGCGGAAGCACGAAACTGCCTCTGTACATTCCAGACTTGAACATTTTGATATGGAGTTTAACAACTTCATGGCTTTCCTAAGGGTTAATTTACAAATGTTGACTGTCACATAACAAAAGATAGTGTATAAGGTCTATACAGATATGGAAGTATCGGTTGGGGGAAAATTTGTTATCCTACCGGGTCTGGGCACATTCACGCCTATTATTCTGAAATGAAATTCAGAGTTAGTCAGCAACTCTTGGCGTTCAAGACTTACACCACATTCCTTCCTCTAAAATGCAGGTAAGACGGTTGTCAACCACGTGTTCGTATATGATATGACCAACCTTTAACTTACATCGTAATGGTAATTAAACATTTTTTTTAAAATACAACGATTTAAAATTGTCATGCTTAATGAGTCCAATAAGTACTCTACACTTGCACGTGTCACTCTATAAACAAACTTTCAAGTTCTTTATTTAAATTTAAAACCAAATATATATACTCCCTATATGAAGAAGGGGAGCTTCAACGTAACACATCAAAAGACAGAGCTCTTTCTCAACACTTAAGTGCAGAGCCTCTGTGTTGCTCATGCAAATAAGTTTAATATTAAATAAAAAACAAATAATAATGAAAGCGTATAGCATACTACATTGACCAATTAACAGATCATTGTACAAACCAAAATCCAATCACAAAAACAATACCCAATACGAGAGACAATGTAGTTGTACACCAGAACCACGAATATTACTTCTGAAGTCGAGGTTTTTTTAACGTTTTTGTAGCCGATCCTTTTTCTTAAATTAGGGAAAAGGAAGAATTACATAAGAAGTTCTCGATACTCCAATAGAAGTTAAAAAGAAGGCAGGTTCTTACGTGAATTAAAAACATAAGTCTAATTGAAGGCAGAGGTTAAAAATAACCTCTGTTTTACATTAACTTTTCAGAGAGTACAATACGAGTGAAACAAAAGTACAATGCTTGAAAGTTAAAAAAATTCTAAGACAAGAAGGTCTAGATGTTTTCATGCCTGATGAACCTCCTAAGAAGTTCTCGAAACTCCAACAGATTACAGATTGATCTTAGAATAATTCTAGCTCCTTCTCTTGCTCCAGGGGTGGTATCTCTGCTTCATGTAAGATGATCTATACGATAATTGACATAGAAGACGACCTTTGTACATAATACACTTAGCTCTTGAGTAAGAGCTCTGTCTCTTGTTGTTCTACGCAGAACCTCTGATCCTGATTTCGTGCTTCATACAGAACTACGCAGACTATCTACATGTACCACGCAGCACAGCTGAAGTTCCTTCCATACTCAATGCAGATGTATATAGGGGCTCTGCATGTTCAACGCCGAGCCTCTGCGTAAGTAACTTTCCTACAGATTTGTAACTCTACATACAAGGCTTCTAATCTTTAAAGTAGGCTGAAGAACAACCCTGCATACTACAGAGCTCTGTATAGCTAGTCTGAATATCTGCATGCAGTATACAGAGGCCGTGTAATAAATCAATGAAGCCCTGCAAGGATTCAGATTAAAGCCCATCTGATCATGTACAACCTGTTATTCATCTGCCCAGAACCTCTTTGTCCAAAAATAGTTAAATACTTACGAGCAGATATAATTTTCATGAACATGAAATCAAGCATTACAAAAGTATGTAATGCAAATGAGTTTAATATCAAATCCAACACAAATAATAACGAAAACGTGTATCATAACATAAGCACGAATGCAAAAATTATTGTCCAAACTAAAATTTGACCACCAACACAATACTAAATACGAGTTTCAATGTAATTGTTCATCAAAAGCAACAATATTACTTTTCAACTTTAGGAATCTTTAATGTTTTTATAGCCGATCCTTTTCCTTCCTGATCGACATCAGACCAACTTTCAAAGCCTTTTCCTATCAACTTGTTAGACCCCATAATCCATAAAGGGTAAAAGTAATGAAAAACAATAAGTGATGAAGAACCAGAAGACCGAAGAAGACATCAAGGCAAAATTGACTAAGTATGGAGAACAACCAGAGGGTCGATGAACAACCAGAGATGCGATGGAAAGAGCATCTTCATAACCCCTCTAGTCAACAACACTTAGAGTTTTCTTCAACAATTCAACCAGAGGCATACGACGAAGATATGAAGATAAGGTTGATTCATCATCCCATGAAAGACAGCTGGAGATGACAAGTCGACAGCTGCACTTCAAGTTTATCTTAATATTAAAGCTTATCCATAGTTTAGATAAACATTATCTGTTAATAGAAGATTAGCTAAATATTCTCAGTAGATAGTTATCTTCTAATTAGCTTACTAGTATAAATAGGTGATTAGGCCTATTGTATTAAATGTCTCTTTTACGATTTTCTTATTAATAAAGTGAAACCTTTGACGCTCAAGATTGTTCTTTAATGTTCATAATTTATTCTTGAGTGTTCATCACTTTGTCTATTAAAACACTATAATTTGATTATTTTTAACTCGATTATTAGTGTTATTGAGAGATCTGRGATCAACAATTGGTATCARAGCCAATTGATTGTTTTTCCAATCAAAACGATCATCTAAAATCTCTCAAATTTTTTTTCTTCAAAACGTAAAATCTCTCTTTTCAAAATTCTCAATGACCAACTGGAATTCTGCATATAGTGTTGGTTCCCTCACCAAGCCTCCAACTCTTCAACGAGAAGAATACCCACAATGGAAGATAAGAATGGTGAATTTCTTGGAAGGAATGGACAGGAACCTCCTGCGATCTGTAATGGAGGGTCCTTACATTCCACAAACTCTTGTCCCAAGAGTCCTAGTGTAACATCCATTTTCTAATATGCCCAATTAATTGCTTAGTATATTTAATTATTGGGTTAAAGAGAACTTATGATTTAGTGGGAGTTTAGGTTTGAAATTTTAGAATTTTATTTCTTAAGAATATATTAGAGGATTTGGAAAATATCACGTCAAATAGATACGTAAAACGGATTTTTTTGGGAGATCTTTTCTGGAATATTTTGTTGGATGTTATAGATTATCTTTCTATGAACGTGTAGGCGAAAACCTGATAGAAAACGGAGGTCCGAGCGAAAAGTTATGAATATTTTAAGTGTTGATGGTCCAAATGGGTACCTAGCCGGGCCAAACCGGCCCAACTCGAGTTTTAGAATTATAAATTGGAGTTTTGGCCCATTTTTCATGTCATCTAAGTCCAGAACTCACACACACACTAGAGGTGCGATTTTCACACACATAGGCTTGATTBAACTCAAATCAAAGAGGAACTACAAGATCTTGGAAGGATTTGATCATCAAGTAAGGTATAATCTATYTTTGCACTTGTTCTTGGTTGACATTCTTGTTTTATGGATTGCATGTTGAGATAGAGTTAGAGTTTCATATGGGTTTGATCTTAGGTGTATAAAATGAGTGCATTTTAGTGTTTTTGGCTTGAAATGGTCATTAGATTCAAGATGTACCAAAATGTACCAAGATCTTCGTTTAGATTACTGGTGGCCTGGGATGAAGACTGATATTGGACGTTATGTTGAGAAATGTACCACATGCTTACAAGTAAAGGCTGAACACAAGAAACCGTATGGTAGCTTACAGCCTCTTGAGGTACCGATGTGGAAATGGGAGGAATTAACGATGAATCTGGTTACTAAACTACCGAAGACCCAACTACAACACGACAGTATTTGGGTTATAGTTGATCGATTGACCAAATCAACATTGTTCTTACCTGTCCGAGAGTCTTACTCTATGGATCGATGGGCGCGGTTGTACATTGATGAACTTGTCTCGTGACACGGTGTACCAGTGAAGATTATCTTTGATCGGGACTCTCGATTCACTTCTAATTTTTGGACTAGATTTCAACGAGAGTTGGGAACACATCATGCGTTTAGTACGGCCAATCATCCTCAGACCGATGGTCAATCAGAACAAACCATTCAGACTTTCGAGGATATGCTACGCGCATGTGTCTTAGAATTTGGTGGTAGCTGGGATACTCACCTACCATTGGTTGAGTTTTCTTACAACAATAGCTACCACTCGACAATTGGAATGGCTCCCTATGAGGCTTTATATGGACGTAAGTGTCGTACACCCTTGTGTTGGCGAAAGACGGAAAAGAAAGTTTTAGTTGGTCCCGAACTCATTCAGATCACTCATGACAAAATTCAGATTATTCGCGAAAGAATGAGAGCTGCCCAAAATCGTCAAAAGTCTTATGCAGATCGTTCCAAAAGGCCAATCGAGTTCTCGGTGGGTGATATGGTAATGGTGAAA